GAAATACCGAGTATGTACGCATCCCTGCAGCAACAGTAAAGCTGCTTAAAGAGCAGTTATCGGTGTAATACGAGACAATCAAGTTTCAACATGCACGTTCTGTACCGGCCGGCACGTAAGAAGGGGAAAAATCACGCATCCCCCCCTCCCTCCATCTATTAGTGCGCCACGTAGTCAGTTAGCTCCTCCTGCAGCCTCTAAATTGGTCATCTGTGGATAAGTTGCTTTTAGCCTTCTTACGGACGGGTACCAGTATCTACTTATTCGCTTGATTTAATTTTACATAAACAGAAGCAATACCATACACACCTGCTATGCCACCACAATTTTTAGAAGTACCTACCTAACTAGTAAGTACAGGCACGAGGAGTCGTTTCTGTATTCCCAAACTAGGCATGAAAACAAAAGACGTACTAGAACAACAACAATGTTGAGAATTAAATACAAATAAATAAATAAATAAACAAAATTTATTTTTTTTTAAACGACTTTAGAAACAAGTACTTTCGTCTCTAAAAATGGTGATGAAAATGTGATTTTCCTCTCTAGTGAGGAAAGTAAAAAAATTTCTGCGTTAATCTTATAATGACATTTAAAATTGAAACATACCTGTATCTAGATTGATATACAGGGTGTTACACGACCGTTCGAAAAAAAAAATCGGGTTGTAGAGGGCATCAAAACAAGCACTTTTTCCAAATAAACCGAGGGTCCAACGTGTTTCGTTTGGGAGCCACCCCCCAAAGAGTGTTGAAATCAGCATTTCTTCTTTAATTTTTTTCTCAGCAACCATAAGAGTTACAAAGTCGGGTGGCATGTCTTTGAATAGGTTTTTGGGTATGCTCTTTCCGATTTTGCAATTTTTTTTTCAAAATTCCTACCCCTAAAGGGCGCACCCCTAAACTATGGTGCAAAAAAAAATTCTGATTTCGACGAAATTTGGTATCTGGGGGTTTTTTAACATGAAAATCACGAATCTGAAATTAGTTTTTGAAAATTCGAAAAAAAAGTTCCACTGAAATTCTTGGCGGGACAACGAAAATAGAGATAATTCCACGAAATTTGTTGTGTACATACTAAACGAGTTAAGGAACAAAACTGTCGAACAGTTTTTTAAAATAACTTTTCAAAAGTTATACTCATTTGAATGTTGGTCCTTCGGGTCGCGAAGTGTCCCAAGCCTACTAGTAAGCCATAATTTCGCATGTGTTGGTTGACAAATGTAAATTGTAAATTGATAATTGGAAGAAATAAAAATAACAACTAACTTCACATTAATTTAATGTACCTTTTCGATTTGTCCTTAAAAGGAGCGTGTTCTTTTGGAAGTTATTTTTCAACCTAAGATTATGAAAATTTTTGATCATAGTGAAAAAGTATCATACGGAAAGTGATTTGACTTTTTCCCCTACCTTATTTAGATAATAAATAAATCGATCAGCGCTTTAAAATACCTTGGTAGGTGTTTTAATCGATACATCGAATTTTTTAATCATTTAATGACCGAATTAATTCCAAATAACAAAATATCGACTCAAACCGTTAATCTTTTGTTTTTGCGACATTGTCAACCAACACATGCGAAATTATGGCCTACTAGTAGGCTTGGGACACTTCGCGACCCGAAGGACCAACATTCAAATGAGTATAACTTTTGTTTGAAAAGTTATTTTAAAAAACTGTTCGACAGTTTTGTTCTTTAACTCGTTTAGTATGTACACAACAAATTTCGTGGAATTATCTCTATTTTCGTTGTCCCGCCAAGAATTGCAGTGGAACTTTTTTTTTCGAATTTTCAAAAACTAATTTCAGATTCGTGATTTTCATGTTAAAAAACACCCAGATACCAAATTTCGTCGAAATCAGAATTTTTTTTTGCACCCTAGTTTAGGGGTGCGCCCTTTAGGGGTAGGAATTTTGAAAACAAAATTGCAAAATCGGAAAGAGCATACCCAAAAACCTATTCAAAGACATGCCACCCGACTTTGTAACTCTTATGGTTGCTGAGAAAAAAATTAAAGAAGAAATGCAGATTTAAACACTCTTTGGGGGGTGGCTCCCAAACGAAACACGTTGGACCCTCGGTTTATTTGGAAAAAGTGCTTGTTTTGATGCCCTCTACAACCCGATTTTTTTTTTTCGAACGGTCGTGTAACACCCTGTATGTGTCAAAACTTAATGATTGCATACGTTGATTTTTCAATCTTGATTGTAGTTTCGGGAAAAATTTTGTGTACCTAAAACTTGAGAAAAAAAGTGTTTTTCAACTCTCGTTCAATTCACTCGAGTTGAAAGACTCCACTTTCTTCTCTAGTTGTACGAATAACTATTTCAATATAATGAAGTGGGTGATCCATATTCTTATATTTGGGATGTAGTATAAATAAGAATCGTTGTCTTATTTATTTCAATACAGTTTTCCTGCTTTTGAATATAGGTATATAACACCGTTTCAATATGTCATCTTTAACCCAGTATAAAAATATTGATTTGGTTTTCCAGCAAAATGGCCCTCAACAACTGCTATAAGTTCGTCACTGTCGTTAAATGTTGTCCCCCTTTTAGTATTTTTGAGATTCGGGAAGAAAAAATAGTCACTGGGTGCTAAATCCGGACTATAAGGGCACAACCATAATCAGCTACAGCAGCTTTTGAAAGTCTGGACTCGTGCATTGGTGCGTTGATTGATAATTAATCTGGTTCATCTCCGCAGCGCGCCAATAATTGTTCATAGGTCTCTGGGCGGACACGCGTTTGGAATGACGAAAAAGCATTCGCGGAACCCATCCCAAACCAAACTAACCTTTGTCCACCTCAAGCTACTCGTGTATATTTCTGAAAACTGTGGTTTCTGAAACTCCCAGTGTTAATTGTCGCTTCTTTAGTCTTGCATCTTCAAATACCTACCCCACTTGGTTTTTTCAATAACATCTGAATTGATGACGTTAACAGGACGCCCTAGACGGTGATCATCATCCAGTGATTCTCGACCATGTTTAAACAATTTTGACCACTCGCAAATAGTGTTGATTTAGAAGGACAATCATCCCCGTATAGAGCCAACATTTCTTCAAAAATAATGTTTGCAGGGCTTCCTTGTTTTGTAAGGGATTCGATTTTATTCATTTTGATAAATATACAACGTGCGACGACATAAACTGACAGATAATAAAATGAATAATGTTGCAATTGTTTTAAAAATGGCCACACAAGTTATCAAGGCATGCGTGATTAAGAAACAGCACATTCAAAAATTGCAACAAAATTCAAAACAGCCCAGCCAACCCCTCGTACATTTGTGTAGCTAAGTTCCCATGCATACCTACTGTTTAAGTATAGCACAGATGCAATCAGTGATAGTAGTAAATACTACTAAATCGTAGTAGATTCTTTGTTAGTATAGTAACTACTTCAGTTCACAAGTAGGTAGATAAGATACTCAGGAATTAGAAAGTATTTCTGTTTATGCATGTATACCCTCCCTTGATACAAATGAATTGTTACACTAAAAATATCTTGCAGGTAGATTTATTTGCGAACCCAACCTCAAACCAGATTAGTGATAAATTGATAATAGACTAACGGCTTCTAAATAGTTACTTTTACTTCTGCAGATAACTGTTTGAAGAAATTGATGCAGTTTTACATTCGGCGAACTTGTGAATAGAAGCTTTTATTTCGAAATTGTAAAAGTACCTACTTTGGAGTCAAATTCAAAATGTCTCTAATTTCTTGCTTTAGACTTTATGCTTTAGTTAAGGTAAAGTTTAACCTTTATGTATGTGCATTGGTGCTGCCTACATTCTCCCAGGCGTGATTATTGCACTAGAGCCGGAAAAAGGAATAAGAGATGACGTTTGGTGTGATTATCTCGGCGGTGGAATAATTAAATGCGAGTTTCTATTGGATGATTATATCGAGAAGGACGAAATTTGCCTGAGGCGAGCTTTTTGAGGTTAAACATTCTCAAGGCGGGGTGGGTGAGGGAACGGACGAACGGATATTCCTGGGGAGGACATTCCGGGTGCGAATATTTCTGGAGGTGAATCTTCTAGGATGAAGGCGCATTTTTGGATGCAAATCTTTTGGGGCGAATTTAATCACAAAAATAACACCGAACTCTAAAACTGATTACTCGAGCTATTGTAAACACGAGTTTTTTCTTGGTGAATTTTGGGGTCAGCTACTGCTCAAGGAAGACTGGGCTAATTTTTCGCCAGGGGGACGCGAGGATTCTGCGGGAAAATAATCTAGGAAATGAATATTCTCGTAGGAGAATTTACCGGGCAAGTTCTCCAATGACGAACTTATCACCGCACATACTTTATTTTAGTCGAACTTCTCCAAAAACCCTGTTCCACTCGGCTCGAAGGCCTTGTCATCTTAGTTTTTAACTCCAAATTATAACATTTCCGCTTTCTTGAAATGTTATAATGCGAATTTTAAGGGTAAAATTTTGTGATATAATGATATTTTATTGCGAGTTGTAAATCGAAGCTTGTGCATGTTGAATGTATCCTTTCCATGGTTTCTTAGATTTCAATTTGTGAAGAACCACTACCACGTGTGTATATCCACTCTTCCCTACTACCTTTGTTAATAAATTGCCTGACGCTTAAATTAGGGATCACTTACATAACAAGGAATTGGTAATGAGTTAATGACTAATGACGCCTTCCTTAATCCTCGAATGGTTTTGCTGTGGGTATCAATCGTGTGCAGAAGAATCCAAACAGTATATAATTATAGGGATGAAGTCTACATAAATCATATGACATGTTCACTCTTGAACAGACCTATATTACCTATATTTTGGATGCTCATAATATGTTTTGACCGCTTTCTTACAAATGACCCTGTGATAATTTTCTATACTCGATTTGTAGAAATTAAATGCAATCTCAACGGCTGCGGGGTTAGACGAATTAAAGTTATATTATTACATATACATACGCATTTGTACGACATATTTGAAAGGCAATTGCATTGCTTTCTTTCAGATTATTGGACAGTATGAAAGTAGCCGCGCCGACCAACCACCATCAAAACCACCAAAGACAGTCCGCGGGTTTTGCCATAAGCGATATCTTGGAACTCAACGAAAGAGCGACAAATATAGAAAATCATCATCAGCCGGATCCGCCGATTTACACGCAACACCCCGAAATTCCACACGGACATACGACTTTACTGCCAATCCCGCCGAGATCGTGGCCTCCACATCCAACATCGGAGCCTAACGGTATGAATTGAATTACTACTACCCTCCCTAAATATGTGCCCCGTAAAGGACAATGAGCGCGTAAAATTAAATTAGTACTCAATAGGGAATCGATACATCACATGACAAGAGGGCAAAACACATTAGTTCCCTTTTAAAAAGAAATTAACTTCCATCTATAACCGACTGCAGGATTGGTCGTTGCTACCAACACGCCTTTTCTCCGATCAAAGCGGCAGCTGCTGAAATCGCAGCTGGTTCTATCTCATTATTTGTCAACGCCATTGTTAACAAAACTATCACGTCGGTTGCGGTTTTAATACCCACGTATGGAATTGACACAAAATTATCTGCCACCATTGTGATCCATTTCTTACATTTCATTGTGCCTCTTTCCGTTCTTGCAGTAGTAAACCAACACCACCCGCAACTCAGTCCGGACAGCACCAGCCCGGCCCTTTCGGACAGGTCGGGACCTACCCGTCCCGAGAGTCCCGGACTTAGCCACGCAGGCGATGAAAGTATAGACGATTGTAGTGACATGATGAACGGTACAAGACAAAATGGAGGCGGCCAAAAGAAAAGGAAACGACGCGTCCTATTCTCCAAGGCGCAAACGTACGAGCTGGAGCGGCGGTTTCGCCAGCAGCGATACCTCTCCGCGCCAGAAAGGGAACATTTAGCGTCCATAATTAGATTAACGCCGACGCAAGTGAAAATTTGGTTCCAAAATCACAGGTGAGTCGTCTATAGCTTCGATAATTGTGTTTACTTTAATATCCCAGTTCCACATTCGGATTTATCTTGTTTGTATTTGTGTATCGTCTGTAATATTGACTTTTGTTAAAGAAAGTAGCACATACAATGGTTTCGCAACTTAGTAGATACGAGCATCGGTGTGAAGGACTCTCTAATCATTAATATTCAAGTTTGTATGAAACAGCCTGTATCACCGCTAAAACCGTACGACAAGCGTTAATATTTACACGTTGAAGTGACATTTTCGTCATATCAATAAATTCAATTTTCCAGTGAACACCCTGTATATGCAGAATTTAATTTTCGATCAAACTGACCAACAATCGGGCACCAGCCATCAACTATACCCGACGGTGCACTAAAATTTGTACTTGATAACTTAGAAATTTGATAGGAGAAACCTGGAAAATCGCGAAAACTTTGAAACGTGTTTTTAGATTTTCATACGTACTTCTATGGCGAAAAAAGTTTGTTTATTGATTAAAAGAAAGAGAGCTTAACACAAGCGTTGATACATTATCGCGAAAATGTGACAAAAATCGTTGTTCATGCTTCATTGCATTAATTATCTTGTTTTATGCATGCGAACTATGTATTTGTCTTGATCTGGCAAGAACAAGAAAAAGCAAGACAAGAGGGATTATCTCAAAGTCACTATAATTGTCTTGGACGATAGATGGCCAAAAAAAGTCATTATAATTAGTTACTCTGGATCAGTTAGTCATGTAGCTATCTTTTTGTTAGACGCAGTACTTAGAACCCAAGGATACTTTATTATATAGTATCCTTGCTTAGAACCGGTCTTTCATGTCGCAGTCTCATTTATTTGACAGTGGAAAACAAAGGTGAATATTACTCTGCATTTTTAAAAAATCGACAGTGAAAGAGTCAACTTATTTTTTTGACATGCCCTAAAAACGGTAATCGCAATAGCCACCTAGCTCAAGCCAGGAAGCCATTGATATTAATTTAATATTTATACAGGGTGAGTTTTATTTCATTTTAAGCATTGGGATTTCGGAAACCATAAGACATACGGGTTCGGTTAAATGAGGAAAGAGTTGTCGTTTTAAGAGCTTATTTAAGATATTCTTTTGTTTTTTCAAAAAATCCACAGTTCACTAGATATGAGCGAAAAACAGATTTAGAGATTTTTCATTTAAATGGTGTAGAATCGTTATTATTAGAAATACAATGACACGAATAAAAGTTTTAGTCATTTTAATGCTTAACATGATGAACATACTAATTTATTTTTAGATCTTACAATTTTTGAGTTATAATACAAACTTTAATTTTTTTAAATGGTAGTCATAGTTGGCTTTGACATTTTTAAAAAGGACTTTTTCTCTTTATAACGATATAAGATTTGTTAAATATACTTTAATAAATAAACGCCCTGCAGTAATTTTCGTATTATTGAGAGGTAAGTAAACAGAGTTGGCCATGGAAAACAATATCTAGTGAGATAGCTACCTTTCATTTACGACGAAAATTGGACAGGCCAATGTTATCTTCATTTTCTACCAAATGAATTTCAAGATATGTAGGATGGGTTAGATTTGGAAACACGACGTAATTTACGCTGGTTTCAACACAACGGTGCCCCGCCGCACAACTAACTGCAAGTTAAATATTATAATAGACACTAATTAAGAGAACAAAAATGTTTCCCATGGCAAAATCTATTTTTACTATTCTTTACAGTTCTGAGATTATGTTTATTTGTCAAAGTAAGTACAATGAACCTTATATCATTGTAAACAAAAAAAATGCACTTTTTAAAGATGTCACAGCCAACTATGATTACGATTTAAAAAAATGTAAGTTTGCGTTATATCTCGAAAATTATAAAAGAAGAATAAATATTAATAAATGATACCGTGAATAAAATGTACCTTATTAAGCGGAAAAAAATCTACAATTTTTGTTCTTTGCATATTTCTGTATTTATAATACTAACGATTCTACAGCAGCTAAATGAAAAATCACTAAATCTGTTTTTCGCTCATATCTAGTAAACTGTGGATTTTTTTAAAAAAACAAAAGCATATCTTGAATAAGCTCTTAAAACTACAACTCTTTTAACTCATTTAACCGAATCTCTATGTCTTACGGTTTCCGAGATCCTAATACTGAAAATGAAAAAAACTCACTCTGTATATAGGATGTCCAAGAAGTAGAACTTACAAAATCTATTGAAAATGTAAAATTTTTTAGATTGTTTGTGGTTTGTTAAAATACACTTTTGATTTCACAAACCCCTACAAAACAGTCACAAGGCGTAAGATCGCATGATCTGGCAGGCCATTCCTGAGGTGGAAGTGCCCCTCATCTGAGAAAATTCTTCTTTTCGTGAAGTTCTATTGTTCTCTGCTTGTCGAGCCAAGGCCCACTGAGCAAATCGATGTCTCTTTCAATGACCTGGCTTCAAACTCTTGTGTAATCTGGTTCTAGTCACATTACCACGCACGACAGCAATATTTTCTTGCGTTCGAACAGAACGCGGTCGTCTCGTTTTAACTTACGAACTGTAGATTCATGTTGGAGCAACGTTACGTCCGAGTATCATACGGAAAATGTCGGAATTAGTCTCAAAATAAAATTATTATTCACATTTTTGTACAGTGAATCAACGTCCTTCAAAATAGGCCCCTTGGGCATTAATACAACGCATCCAGCGTTTTTCCAATGGCCTTTGACTGCCGTCTGAACACCTCGTCGAAGCGTCTTGCACCACTCGAATCGAGTCGGCACACCGTCCTTTCGGATCCCTCTTGATGATGCGGGAGAACAAAAAAAGGCAGTGACAGCGTAGGCACAGAACTTGATCTAATACCGCTGCTCCAAAAATCGCTGTATTTTCACTTTCCTACGTTTTCTAAGACAGGTTCAAATACTACTCACTAAAACTTCTATTTGCTCACCCCAACGTTTCGGCGCCAACTGCACTGTCTGCACTACTATTCCCGGTAAATTCGGCACCACACGGAGGAATTGGCCCTAAAATTTCACCCCCGGAAAATTCGCACCCGAAAATGGTTGCTCTTGTGGAATTCACTCCCGCCAGAATACTTCTTTGTCGGGACCTCTCTCCAATTCACGTTAGGAAAGTTCAACCTTCACGGATTGTTGGTTTAGCGGATTGAAAGTACACAGAATTTCCTGATAAATGTCTCTATACCTTTAAATTTACAAGGGCATCGCCCTCTTTGTTACACTATACAGGGTGGGCCATTAGTGTGTGGGTCGTAGGTTTATTAACGCGCATATTTAAAATTCATTGTGGGGGAATGTTGAAGGACCCTTAAGGCTACAACCTAAAAATATTTTCACCGAAATTGCAATTGTTATACAGGGTGATTTATATCAAAATTGCATTTTTTTAATGAAACCCCCTGTGTATTATTACATATTTCGATTTCTTGGTCAATTCTAGTGTGACTTTATGTATTACACATGATATCTAAAATGAGTAGTTTAGACGCAATTCAACGGTTTTTCAAAAAGTAGGTGTCCAGTAAAAATTGAATATCGCAGTTATCATAAAACTTAGAAGGCGGAGACTTTGCAGTGGCACTAATCATGACATGTACTAACACACGCTGAACAGCTAAAGTTAAACTTCTTTTTGTGTTAAAAGAAATCACTCCGTCAATTTTCAAAATTTCAATCAAAGGTAACTTGATTTTTAAATGGAACTACCTACCAAGTTTTTTTTATTGCATGAAATGTAAAATTTTATTACCTTTCTAACGATATAAGCATGTCGGTATGTATCTCTTTCTCTTACCTATTTTTTGTAATTCAACAATTTCTAATAATTCAGTGTTTTTGCGATTTTTTAAGCCTCTCAGTAATCAGTAGACCGTTATAAATTAAGAACACCAATTGAAATGATAAAACATTTACCCCCAACAAAACAAAACAAAAACTCTTGTTTGTCGTAGATAAAATAATGAATTTGCATTTAGACCAAAGCGTGAAATTATAAATAAATAAATTTGAATAGTAAGCCACGAAAGCCACATTAGAAAATATTAACACAAAATAAAATGAAATCACATCTGTCAGTTTAGTTTATTAGCATTTACAATTCTGTTGTTGATTGTTGTGTTAGAAAAATGGAATTTGAATAACATATTTTAAACGGTGCTCTTTACCTTAAATTTTTAAGTACTTTTTTTTTGGCTCTTCTTCAAAATGTTCTGGTGCCCATCGTTGAAGAAATGTGGTTTCAGCATGATGGTGTCCTAACTCATTTTGCAATAAACGGTAAAGAATGGCTGAATCAACAATTTCCTGGGAGGTGTGGTGTTGAACATTTATTGAAATAATTATTTTTCTCTTATTTTTATTTAAACTTTTTATTTTGAATTTTTTAAGTTTTTGTTTTATTTTATTTGGAGTCAATTTTTTATAAATTCAATTGTTTATAATTTTTAGCGACCTATTAATTACTGAGAGGCTTTGGAAATCAAAAAACACTGTGAATTATTAGAAATTGTTGAATTACAAAAAATATGTAAAAGATAAATATCGACATGCTTATATTGTTAAAAAGGTAATCAAATCCAACATTTGATGCGATAAAAAAAACTTGGTAGTTCCATTAAAAAAAATCAAGTTACCTTTGATTGAAATTTTGAAAATTGACGAAGTGATTTCTTTTAACACAAAAAGAAGTTTAACTTTAGCTGTTTAGCGTATGTTAGTACATTTCATTTGCCGGTTGCCTTTTATTCTGTTTGCTCCTGCTTCGACTGCAAAATAAACAAAATCTTCCTGTAATCGGAAGCGGAACCAACCATACCATATCCTTACGACTCATTGGCGCCCCAAGCTTTTAAATTCTTGCGGTGGTGAATGTTCGGGGGCGGATATTCCGAGGGTTAATTATCTTGGGGGAGACTGCTCGGGGTGGGGGAGGGGGGGGGCGAGTTTTCCGAGTCGAATTTACCGCATACGAACTTATATTATTATCAGGTCCGTGATCACCAGGGCCGTAGCCAGAGAGGGGTAATAGTATTGGAACCCGCTTTGCGCGCTCTTGAAAATTTCTTAATATGACATAATAAATAATATATTGTGCGCATGAATGATCAAATATTTCCTAAAAATTTAACAAAAGAAGAAAGAGAAAACTTCAACCATTTTGAGTGGCAATTAATTAAGAAAGTGTTTCAGGTTGAAAGACGGATTTAATTGTGTATTTTCTATCATTAAATGAATGAGGCTTATTGTGTGTTTTTCGTGGTTGCGTTTCCCAGATTGTCGGCGCATAAATAATATAGATAATATATAATTATCATTTTAATTATCTTTGTATCACTTCGAATACCTAGTACAGGTAACGGGCGATCAAAAATGAGTTGCTGTCGAGTCGCCTTTGGAAGTTCAAGTTAAGTACGATTTCTCATGGAAACAAAAATTCCAAAGGTGACTCGACAGCAACTCATTTTTGATCGCATAGTATAAGAGAAGTAGAAATGATTTGGCCATCGATCCATCGAGTTTGGTCTTTTTCCCAAGAAAATTGGTGCATAAATAAGGATTTAAAATTTTAGATCGATTTTTAATTTTCGATAGTGTGCTAATCTGGAACTCATAAGCTTTCATACAGCGAAAATGTGAAGCCAATACGAGGTCTTCTTCCCAAGAAAATTCTTGGGCATTTACCAATCGAGTTATCCAAGAAAATTGATGCATAAAGAAATATTTGGACATCCTTTGGGTAAAAATATTTAGGTCACCAAAAAAAATACATGTATCATTCCTTGGTCATTGATCAGTCGAACTTGATCTTTTTTCCAACAAAATTGGAAATAAATAACAATTTTATCCGACTTCGGACAAGAAAGTGATGAATGCCAAAGTTAATTTTTTGTAGTTGCGCACACCTGGAAATCATAAGCTTTCACATATGGAAAACCCTAAGACGATACGAGGTTTAGGGACTGAACTATAGCACGGAACGACAGGTAGACGTGCGGAACATTCATGGATTGCGCTAAGAACGAATTTATTTAGCGGGCGGCCACCATCTTTTTTTTGAGTTCCTTCTATTGAGGTAAAAATCTGTTATATTAAATTTTGCAATAATAACAAAGTTATCTATGCACTCCCACTCGATCTGGTACATCTTGTACTACAAATTTAAATAGAAATGATCTAACAAAAAAATTAAGAGCAAACATTTTTTGGAATTTGGCACACTCTATTTTTGAATCTAGGAAAACGCAATGTTCCGTCTTGGTTTCCTTCGTGGCATCCGCTGGACTCAAGAAATCAAGAAAACCTGACTCGGTCTCGAACCAGAAGCTGTGTGACATACGAGCATATGTGACTCGCTATGGCTCGGTTTCGTTGTACGACACTCGGACGATCCATCGGTTTTTGTCTGTAAAATTTGTATGAGTCAAAGAAGCTGACGGCGCGGTCTTTGCTAAACTCGTACAAGCTCGCGTTGCCTTGTAGGAACATTGCACACCACTTTTGATATTTTAAGGGTTTAAAACAACTGCAGTGGTGCGTTAACCTCTGGCGCAAAGAGGTGAAGTCCACATACACAGGTCCACAATTACACCACAGTTAATTGTCAATTTCTAATATATTTAATACTCTTTATTTCTTGCAATGAGATTTGATACCATAAGATACCTTATCCAATTATAAAAGCTGCGTGTCATTGATCTTTGGTTGACAACTGCTTCACCGGAAACCCTGATTATAGCGAATGTCACAAGTGCTTGGATTTTGTATCTCAAAATTTCGCTTGACAGTGACCCCTATTTGTTAGCTTTCTTTCAGTTCGTACTTTTTTCGTTTTGTACAACTGTTACCAAAAGACGCCAAAGTCAAAGTTTTGAACGATGGTTCAATCCTTTAGCGTTACACAAATTGAGTGATTAAACCTTGGAATTGATTGTTGAGTGGAGATAATCAAGAGATACGACAAACGTTCATTTGTTCGGTGATTACACAATCAGAATACCTTGATTTTTGCTATCGAAAAAAAAAAGATCGCTTGGCTTGAATGCGGATTCCTTTATAAATGTTACATGCCACCTGGCACTTGTCTCATTGTTTTTCTTCCAAATTCTGTAGGAATTTAGCAATATGAGCGACTGATCTAAGGTACCGTCCTACAATTTTTGCAATATGGAGAGCGTACCTACTGCCATTCAAATTCAAACAAAACATGAATTGAGTATATCCACTTTCTTCTGTACAAAAGAATCTACTATCTACCCTATCTAATAATCTAATGGTTTAAATTATTGTGAAAGTTTTTGTAGGTTAAAGTTTCGAGCAATATTCAAAGTTCACAAATTCATTAACACTGCGTCCGTTCGAAGTTTGAAGTCTCATCATTGGTTCTTCATACAAGACTTTACATACTTTCTCTCTAATATAAAGCATACGGTGTAAGAAAAGCTAAGCAGCTTGGTGTAATTAAATCTATGTTGAAAATTCGTTCCGTGTCACTACGAAAGCTTCTCTCTGTCGGCAACCATGACTACATTTCGCGTCTTTCTTTTTACAGATACAAGACAAAAAGGGCAGCGCACGAGAAAGGCTTACACGATCAGCAAGTAAACGGCACAATGGCGTCGCCACGTCGCGTGGCGGTACCTGTTTTAGTGCGCGATGGTAAACCGTGTCTTAGTGGAGCGAATGGACCGGTACCACCAGGTTCCAAAGGGGTTGATAATTTACCAACGGGTTCACCTCTAGTCATGTCATCCTATGGTCATCATTTAGTGCACGGCGGCCAGCCTCGAGGGTGGTGGTAATTTGAGTTCCTTTTAATTGTAAATAGACTTGTACTATAGTAGGCAGTAGAAGACGTTGTTGATTGTTTAGTGTGTGCAAATTTTATTTGTTATAAAATGAATTGTTTAGTTTATATGTTCTAAGTAGATAAACTACATGATTTAGCAATACGTGTGATACTAGATGGTACGCTGTTTAACTGTACAGATTGTAAAACTACTTCTACCAAATGTGATGGAGATTTTGGTTTTTGAATGTTAGTAGTGTAGGTACGTGTGTAAATAGCAAAAGAACGAGTGGCAAACGCTACACCGTTCGGCATTTCATGTAAATAAAAAATGAAATATAATATAATTGCTGAGTAGAAATGTGTTTGATTTCAAAAAACCACTCTTACGTAATTGAAAATTGTACCTAATCAACCTGCTAGGATTGTATGTTTACTTATGGGAGTTACACATTTTGTTATCAATGTTTGCTGATATAGGGCGTCATGATAACGACGCGAACGAACCTTTAACACAAAATATCACGCTCGGTTATGCACAAAAATATATAATGGTCCAAATAATTTTTTATTTAACTTTTGTTCGATATTTACACACCCTTCCCCTATGCACGCAGTATAACGATTATCTATAAAAATCAAATAGAACGAGGTGACATAATTTTCATGTGGTATTCCCGATTTTAAATTAAGTTGTTCAACACCCCTCAAAGCTTGAGTGAATTTTCGTTTCGGCCCAATTTAGTTTAAAAATTCTTTCATTTTGTTTCCTGAAGATATGCCACAATACCTGTCTAAAAAACACATGTTGAACTAGCCACAGAAAAACAACTCAGGATAGTGATCTCAATTAATTTCATAAACGGCAATGAAAAATATTGATCAAGTTATTTATACCGAATGATAAGTTTTTCAATGTTTATTTTTGTTTGTCCCTCGATGGAAATTGTTTACTAAGCAATTTTTAGTAGTATTGAAAATTTTCCTCAACTTATATAGCTGCATGGAATTTTCTGAGGTAAAGTAGGTATACCTCACCAGTCGCAGAAACTATAAGGGTCTATTCCATCGTAAGCTGAACTCGCAAATAATTAGTTTGAGATGGGCGGCCACAATTCGGTAAGTGTACATTCTTAGCTCAGCCTTTAGAAATCGAGTTCTAAAAACCTAATTTTTATTTGAAAATGTAGGTCGAGATAACGCATAAGAGCTAAGAAATAACCTTTGAAGTTTTGACGAAATCTTAGGTCTTATTCAGTTGAAAGCATACCGTCGGCCTAGTAAAGTTATAGTTTTTAAAATATTTTAGGACTTAGGAATAGCAGGCTCAGCAGACTATGGTGATTGATCTATGGGCCATCTATTTGTGGAATAGTAAACGTGTCAAAAGTGTATTGTTTACTCGTGAATGTCCATTTCGTATGCACCTACTTACCTAATCACTGATATGCATGTTACTACCATAAAAAATATGTTGATACTCAAATAGTTTGTTTTGGTTGTAGAATATAAACCACTTCAATTTCCAGATTAGACTCTTACTTAGATGCCTATCTTTACAACGTAGTGGGGCTGACAACTGACTACCAAAGAAAGAGACCTATTCATCTTTATTGAAATAACATTTCTTCCCCCACTCCTGCTTCATTCTTTTCTGCAAGAAATTAAGTGAGAGCACGTTATTTATTATACCACAGTAGAGTTACACTGGGTCACGCACATCTTGACCCAGTGACCCAGTTAGTACAAAGACGCAGTGATCTAGGAATACTCAGTGACCCAGATATGTTTATAAAAAAAAGCCTAATAGGTTGGATTTACTGGAATTATTCAACCTTTTAGAGGTGCAATTAAACTTTCCTCAAAAGAACAAAATTAATATATTAAAATAACTTCCTATATTATAATGATTTGTAAGAATATAGTAGACCAATGTATTCAAGCGTCTTAGTTTGACCCCCCCCCCCCAAGTTATAGTGTCTTTCGATACAACATTGACTATATTTCGAGTGACAAAGAATCGAACGTTACTCCTAGCATAGTACTAGATTTATTCAAGCGTGTTTCACATGTTTCCATAAAGTAAATCTTTCTTTGCGTTTTGTTGACATAAATCTTCAATTTTTTAATATAAAAAATCAAGAAATGTCATTCTCTGTTAGTGTACCCCTTTATCAAAGTTGTATTACCAGCAAAAACAACAATGATGAACATAAAAAGAAAAGAATTGGTCCAAGAACTGAGCCTCGTGGAACCCCTTGACTGATCGATAATAAACTTAGTTCGAAATTGATAAATACAATACATTGCTGTCTTTTAGTAAGGCATGATGTTCTTTGACTTTTCGCGTTGAATCAAATAGCTATTTTACCAAAAATCGGAGTTAATGAAATTGGCAAGTCGTTTTTTATACACGATTTTCGTATTGGGGTAAGTTCTGCATGCACCAACCGCAGCATTTCCAAACTGGTTTGTCCTTGTATATGAGTGAAGAGTAAATCTTAAATAAAATAATTGACGGATCTTCCTAATTTTTTGATTAGAAAGAAAGAAAGAAATTTAAAAACAAAAACAATTCAAAATTGAAATATTTAAACACAATTTGAATAAATTCAGCGGCGGCGAATTGATTTATATAACGTATTTGAGAATTTGGAGCGGTTAAAAGACAAGGAGTACTTACGGCGCGGCTTGTTGAACAGAACGATGGTCGATGAGTAGAGTTTTGTTTCTTCTATTGCAAATTGAGGGTTTCAAGATTGAGTGTCGGCACGACACGACAGTAAAAATATATATTAGCAAGCAGCAAAAATGAGAACTTGTTTTTTCCGTTCTCTTCACAACACATTTCCTCCTTCCACGAACATTTTGCGTGCGCGCTACGTAAGTACAAGGACGGACACAAAACGGCAGGGAAAATCAAAATTATGACTAGTAATAACTATACCAGGAAATTTTAAATTAAGGAAAACGTACGTTATTTATGTATGCAACAATGAGCATACCCCAGAAAACATTTCTGTTCACCAATCTCCCACACTTTTCAACGTCCACTAACAACGGTGATTTTTTTCCAATTTACAGTTGATTTTCTCCTTTTGAATGGATGGTGAAACACCTTGTGCAATACAATTGAACCTTTTGTATCGCGTGGTAAATTTGACTACTCGTGAGTGAATTTTGAAAGATTGTTAACAATTCGAATCAAAAACAAACTGGGATTCTCAAAATATATAGTAATATTCACTGGAATAATTAACCAATGTTCCGCAGTATGAAAATGTCCATTTTCCCCTTGTAGATAAACAAACGGCATACGGCCGGTTTTATAAAGCATAGTTAACTATATTGTTAGGCTCACAATGTTGTTTACATTACATGTTTTGTTTCAAAAAGTAACGTTATTCTTTAGAAAAACACCTAATTACATGCCTTAACAACATTTTAGCCTGACACCATAGTTACCTATGCTTTATAAAACCGGCCGTTAGAGCTTTAATAGCCAGCAAAAGCAGTAATTAATCGTAGGTAAACTTTAAACAATAATTTTGTCGAATTAGCGGATAGTTTTCCTTTGTAATTCTACAATTAACTTCAATTTTCGCAATAAAAATATCACGTACGATTAGGCGGCTGTTAAACCTTCCGTATACCTCCATTATACCGATTCGTCTTGAAACTTTCACTTGAAAATAAATGTTACGCGATCTAAAATACCGCGCCCGACTTACATAGATTCTCCTTGAAGAATCTTTCTCTCCCACCCAATTCTTCCTAATGTAGTCGACGAAACGGACCCGACGCAAACCAAACTGCGAACTCGTTAAGATAGCAGAAAGTCCCTCCCTCATGCTCCGTAGGAGCGATCTTTAGAACCGGCAACACTATGGCGTTTTGAATCTTATCTGCTTGCATACTCGCGTCATATCTAAAAGTTCTTCATTCTATCGCATTTTAATTTCGTTCTCTTTCACTATGAAGTCGCACACGTATAAAATTTACTATACTGGAAAATTTGTAAATCCAAAAAAACCCCTGTTACGTGGGCCAACCCAAATAACACCTAATACAAGTTAAAATTACCAAAATTAAAACTTATAACCATCGGTAAAGTCAAATCGGAATAGTTACCCGCATGCACACACGGTGCAAGAAACGGAGTAGACTTATACCGCATGCGGTGGTAGTGCATTTATTTATTTATTTATTTATTTATTTATTTATTTATTTATTTATTTATTTATTTATTTATTTATTTATTTATTTATTTATTTATTTATTTGTTTATTTATTTATTTATTTATTTATTTATTGCCCTACAGGCTTATCGCCCAATTACAGGACACAGTAACAATAGTTAAGTAGTGTACATTGTAATCTATACTTAAACTAAAAAAGAAAAAAGTTCCAAACTAATAAAATAGATCCTAATATAGGTACATAAAAAATAACAAAACAGAAGGACATTCACATAGTGTTACATTAATTCATTGAGATTGAACTATATACTCGGTAACTGGAACGGCATCGAGCGCCAAAATCGCGTGCCGCAATGATTTTAGGCAACCAGCATAACGTAGGTACTCTCATCCTTGTCTGGCACGTTGTTTTGTATTGCATATGTAGGACCGATCACACGTATTTGGTTAAAAATTCAGATAAGTAAATAAACTGAGAGGTCGGGGCCTTAGAAAGATAAAGATAAATGTTTGTCGATGCTTTTGTAAGTACCAATATCTCTTTGTTAATGGAATATCTTAAAATATATACTTAATAATGTGGTAAACTGCGCCATTTCTCACTCACACACTCACATACTTGATTCTTGAAGTTACAAGAGTATAATGTCAACTAATGTCATTCATGGTGGCTCGACGCATTCTATTTGCTTATTAACGTAAAATAAAGTTATAAACATTGGTTGTGTTCGTTTGTAACGTACCCTTTACATAATAATACTTATTAGCAAGGAGGTACCCAATATATTACAATTGGCGTCGAGATAAAGGTAAATTTAAAAAAGCACTTTTTTTTAGAATAAAATGAGTTTAAGAATCATGGCTACTCTAAGAGCAAAAATTCAATTTACTCGTGGTGGTCACCGCATTGCCATTAGAAGGAAACGAATTGACACGAATGTCTTATGCTGGTCTTATGGACCGATTGTTTCTAGTACACGACTGGAATTTGTCCAACAGCCCGATGGATCCTTTGTTTTCGGAACTACCTTGACACATCCAACGTAACTACCAAATACACCAGTTGTAAGTGTTGGTGGTGCCATCGGCAGTATCGAAGAATTCAGGATAAATACCCATTGGAATATCCACAGTGAGCGGCTTGAGTAATGCATATAA